AGGCGCTAGTATTTATTTAATATAATAATTTTTAAAACCTTTTAGTTTTATTTAATATACCTTTTTAAATTTTTAATAATATTTAAAATGCTGTAATTATAGTAACCTATTATTTAAATAACTTTTTTTAATTTATTATAAATATTTTAATTTTTACAAGCTTACTTATACACTTTTAAAAACCTAATTATATTTTTATTATTAAATATAAGTATGCCTAAAGTACCAGGAATTAGTATAAGGGTAATTAATAAAAGATAATACTTTTTTTTTACTATATTTTTTATATTTTTAAAGGCGCTGGTATTACTACCGCGGGAGTTATTAAAAAATATATAAATTTTATTAATAATACTACTAGGCTTACCTTTAGTCACAAAAAATATATTACTAAAATTTTTAATTATAAGTATAGGTATTTACTTAGTGTTTTTACTACTTTTTTTACTTAAAAACTTAAATGCGTGGGATATCTTTACTTAATAATAAAAGTTAATAAGTAGGTAGTAGGCTTGTATATATTAAAGGTTTTAAATAATTTTTTAAAGGGCTAGGTTTATAAATACTTAATAAAAAATAAAATTTTATAACTATAAAAAAAACTTATAAAATATTTTTACCTTATTATTAAGCACCTAGTATAATTACCTGGGTGGGCCCCTGGGAGCTTTACTTTAAATTTATTAATTATATTTATATTAAATTTACTAATTTTACTATTTAATTTATTATATTTATTAGGTAATTAGCATTTCTTAAAATTTCTTAATTTATTATTTTCCTAAAAATTACTAGGGTATTTTATGCGCGGCCCACCTGCCTTATTTACTAGGTTTAATTTATACTTACTATTTAATTTTTTTTAACCTTTAGGCCTTAACAGTTTTTTACCCCTTTTTTTAATAATTTTAGGTACCTAAGTTACTAAGGTATAGCTATTAATATTAAAAACTTTTAATTTAGGGATTTAGTAAGCGCCCTTTTTACTTTTATAATATTAAAAAAACATGCCCTGCGTTAATTATTAATATATAAAAAGGTAGTACTAAAGTATAAAGGCTAAAAAAGCTAAATAATAATAAAAACCTAAAATTAGATAGTACATAGTACAGGTAAAAATAATAGTAAAAAAAAGAATATATATATTAAGGTAAATAATAAACTAGGTATAGAAGGCCGGTGGCAAGGCTATAAATACTATAGGAATTAATATTGGGGTGCAACCCCACTACAATAATATTAATTATATTAATAAACTAGGTATAACTATATATAAAGCTAGCTATATTTTTAATTTAACTTTTTTAAATATTTTTTTTACTTATATACTAGTAATACCTAAGTTATATAATAGCTTTAATTATTAAACTTTAGTTATTATAATACTAAGGCACGGGAAAAAAATATTAAAATAATATTATTATAATATATTAAACCACAAGCTTAAGCACCTAGCTAGGCTAGTAAAAAATAAAATAATATTTTTTTTTAGCCTAGGAAACTTAAAAATATAAAAATATTAAATTAATATACTAAATTTTTTAATAATATTATTATAAAAGTTATATAAGTAATTAATAAATATCCTAACCCCGGGAGCCATAGCGCCCCTTAGTAATTAATTAAATATATAAAAAATTATTAAGTCTAGGTAGTAAACCCTATCCTAAAATAAAAAAAATAATTTTTAGTTATAATTTATAAAACTAAGCACGTGTGCTAAACTAAAATAATTAATAATATTAAAAATAATTAAAAATTATATTAAATAATAGCATGGTATAAGCTAGAGCTTAGGCTTAAAACTTTTTTATTATTAATAAATAATAAAGTAATTAAAAACACGCGGGAAAAGGCTAATATTTTATAAAAAGTAATATTAAAGTATTTTAATATAAATAATAATCTAGATTTTAATCCCCTAGTACTAAAGTACTAGTAAAATAATAAGTATTTTTATTAATTAAAAAAAATCTTGCTAAAAAAAATTAAAAAAAAATTATTAATATAAGTAGCACTTTCCCCAGGGTGGACTAGGTAATAATTTATATTTTAAAAGCTTATTAAAAGTATATTAGGCAGGCTATACACAGGCTATATAATTAATATTTATAGCTAAAATACTTTTTTTTATTATAAAAGCTTATAAAGGTAGTAATACTTTTAAAAAGTAATAAAAAAAATAAGTTTTTACCCTAGTCCTAGCGCCCTATAGCACTACTTTTAATATTAAAAAAAAAATTTAAATAAATTATAATATATTATATTACTTTTATTATATTAATATAAGGGGTGCTAAGCTTATAATAATATAATATTTTACTTAAGTGCTTAATTATAAATTTAATAACCTTTTTTATTTATAATATAAAAATAGCGCTTTTATAAAACTAAAAAGTTATTATAATTATTATAAATATTTTAGGCACCTTTAATACTATTTTATTATAATACTTACTTTAATAAATAATAAAGCAAGGCTAGCCTTACACGCTTTTAGCCTTAATTATAAGTTTTTTTAATAAATAAAATATAAAAGTATACTTAAAATTTATTATAATAATAACATACCTAGTATACTATAGTATATTATAAGGCTTACCTTTTTTTTTTTAATATTATTTTTATTATATATTATTAAGTTACTACTAGTAGACTTAATTTTATACTTTAATTATATAAATAATTTTTACCTTAATCACGCGGGTAACTCCCTTCACGCAAATTATAAGCTTTTAATAAAAAATATTTATAGTATACTAGCTTAGGAAAAATAAAATAAAATAGCCTTTATACTTAAAAAATTAAAAATATTATATATTACCTAAAAATAGCATGGTAAATTATTTTTACTAGTAGTTAATAACTAGCTAATAATTACTTTTATTATTATAATATTAAATTAAAAATAGCCCGTGCTACGCTAGCTAGGTATTTTTTTTAATAAATAATTTTTTTAATATTAATATATTACTAAGCAGGTAGCTAAAGCCCGTGTAATAACCTAATATATTTATAATTTAATATATATAATATATAGCCTGCCTGTAAATTTTTTTTATAAAATAGTTATTACTTATATTATTTTTAGCTTATTATATAGCATAAAGGTATAATATAATAATAAGACTAAACTTAAAAAGCATGTATAAAACCTAAAAGTTAGCGCCTAGCTAAGTTAATATATTAAAATTATTAAAAAAACCTTAGTACTAGCTGCTTGTGGTATACTTTTAGTTTTTTAAATAATATTTATAATAACTTTTTTTAAAAATACTAGGCTTCCCTCCGTGGTAATAATACTAAAAAAAGTATAATTATACTTTACCCTAAGGCTAAGGCTAGTTAATAATTAAAATTTATTAATAATATAAATAATATTACTAAAAATCTTATATAATTAGGGCGCTGGTTTGCGCTAAAAACCTAAAATAAAAATATAAATAATAAAAGTGCTTTTTTTAAAAACTCCCAGGCTAGTTTTAGCATACCCTTATTACTTTTAAAAATACTTAAAAAATCCTACTAGTAGCAAGGCCAAGAAGCTAGCTATAAAAAAATTTAAATAATAATAATAAGTATTATTAATAATAAATATAATAATTTTTAGTAATAATTTTAAATAAATATACTAAAAAATATATTATATAAGCTATAGCTTCGCGGTGTACTATAAATAATATTTATAAGTATAAAAATTATTAATAATTAATACTTAATCCTACGTGTATAATATTAAAGCTATTAATATATTTTAAAAATTAAAGGTTATAATTAAAAAGCTCCCGGGAGCGCCCTATTATTAGCTTTATATTAATAATATTTTAGTAATTTAATACACGCGCGGGTAGCCCTTATTATTTTTAAATTAGGCCTTTTAAGTATTATACTAACTTATAAATTAATATATAATTTATTTATAATAATTCCTTAGTTATATAAATATTAAAGGTAATAAGCTAGCTAATAAGCTAGCTAATAAAGCAGCTTTTATAAAGGTATAATTTTTAAATATTAACTTTTTTAAGGCATAGCTTACTATAAGTGGGATATATAGCTTATATAAATAAATATATTAAATTATTTAAGCTAAATAATAAAAAGGCACCTTTATAAAACTATTAATTTAATATAAGTAATAGCTTATAAAGTTAAAGCCTTATTAAGTTAAATTATAGCTTAAGCTTATATTAAAATACTTAATTTTATATTATTAATTAATACTTAAGTTTTTATATAAAAACTTTAAGTAATATTATAAATACTTTTAATATAAAAATAGTAGGCTTACTTATTTTTATAAAAAAAATAAAAGCCTTAAATATTTAGTTTTTTATTATTATTTTAAGTAATAATTTTAATAATAGCCTTAGTGCCTTATAATATTATTAATAATTAAGGTTAAGGCCTTAAAGTATTTTTATAAATTAAAACTTAAGGGCTTTATATTTTTATTTAAAATTATAAACTTTTATAAATTTATTTACCTATGCTAGGGCTTTTTATATCCTAGTAATTTTTATATTAAAATAATTTAGCCTAATATTAAATAGTTTTTTTCTTTTTTTTATACTATATTTTTTTTTTTTATTTTAAATACTTTTTTTAATATAACTAGCTTGCCTAATATATTTTTTTAATATAAAAGCTAAACCTTATAAAATATTATAGTTAAACTTTTAAGTATATAATAAATAATACCTATTAATAGCTATATATTAAAATAATAAGTAAAAAATAGGTACCTAGCCTACAAGTATTAGTAAAAGTTATTTTTTAAAATAAAAAGCCTTTTTATATATAAACTTATTTAAATAAGCTATTTACCTAGTAGCGGCACGCCCCCATACCCCAAGGAAGGTCTAGAATATTAGGCGTACGCCTAGTAATCCCCAGGGCGTTAAATATTACTACTACTACTATTATTAAGCTCATCCCCGATCTTCATTTTGAAAGCCTCCTCAATACTTCAAACAAATGCATTTATCTATGACCATCTATCATACGCCCGCCCCCTGAAGTAAACAGGACGCAATATCCCTCAACTCCCTCTTCAGCACCTTCCCCGTAGCATTAATCGGCATCTCGTCCGGAACATCCCCTCCACTCCCCAGGACAAAGAAATGCTCAGGAACCTTATGCGGCGCAAGTCGATGCCTCAGCCACAGCTTCAGTGCCTTCTTCCGCAGCGTGGGCCCGCACTTCGCCTCCTTCGTGCCTTGGATAAATGCCACGATGATTTCACCCCAGTATGAATCTGGGACGCCGACTATGGCGCAGGCTGTGATGTCGGGATGGGACTCGAGGATTGGTTCGATGTCGCCGGGGAAGATGTTTTCCCCGCCTGGTATACGATTAGTTTAGTCTGTGCAGTTGTGCGTAGTTGGGATATTACCTCGCTTGATCATATCCTTTACTCGGCCGGTGATTGTGCACCGACCAGCTTGATCAATCGTGACAAGGTCGCCTGTCCGTAACCAGACTCGTCCCTCGCTATCCTTGACAAGCGCTTCGGCGGTCTTCTCCGGGTTCTTGTAGTATCCCTGGAAAACGAGATACCCGGAGACGAGCAGTTCACCGGCAGTCCCGGGAGGTAACGTTTTCAGATTCTCGTCAACAACCCTTGCAGCCGTAAGAGGCATCACTTTGCCAACAGACGTATGCTCTTTCACCAAAGAAACTTCGTTTGGATCCGTTAAGAAAACAATACACGAGAGCTCAGTCATCCCATATCCATACGCCAGTCCCGTGAATCCAAAGACACTTTCCAGCCGGGCAAGCAAAGCGGGCGATAAGCTGGAGCCGGCTATAATCCCCGTTCGCAGGCGCACATGTGGAGCATGTTTGCCGGCCTCCGGGTGATCTAGCATAGCCTGGAACATGGTAGCGACGCCGTGCACGACCGTACACTGGTCTTCGGAGAGGGCGCGCAGGCTCGCCTCTGCGACGAACACATCTGAGGGAAGTACAGCGGTGCCTCCGTATATGATCGCCGCGAGAACGCCGCAGACGAGACCGAAACAGTGGAAGACCGGCGAGCAGCAGAGGATTTTGTCTTCTGATATGAGGCGTAGCCGGTGCCCGACGAGTAACGCGTTGTTCAACAGGTTGCTGGCGAAATGGTTAGGGGAATGCAGGGAAGTGGGATTGGGGACACACCTATGCGAGAGCATCGCGGCTTTCCGTGCGCCCGTTGTGCCACTGGTGAACTGGATACACATGGGGTCGTTTGGGTTAGACCTTCCCCAGTATGAGGACACGATGCTTGGGTCTTGAACGGCGCCGCCCTCCTGGTCCGGGTGCAGGAATTCTTCCCAACTGCGTACTCCATCCACTGTCGGAGACGAACCGAGCTGTACGACCAGTGAAGCAGACTGTCTCTTCTTGGCAATGTCTGCAATGAGCGGTCCATACTTCCGATAGCCGATCCTGTCCGCTACGAAGATGGCCGTTGGTTCTGTCCCATGAGCATTTCCCTAGCCCTCGTGGTGTACGACAACTTACCGACAAACTCGATGGTCGGAATGATTTCATCCGGCGTAAAGGTGGGATTGATGATTGTAAAGATCGCCCCAATGGCGCTGACGGCGAAGAACAGCTGCACATACTCGAGCGAATTCCCGGCTAGCACGACGATGCGGTCACCAGGGCGGACGCCGTGCCGGAGGAGGGTTGCTGCTATTTCCCGCGTGGTTTTGTAAAGTGTTTCGTAGGTCAAGCTGACGCCCTGCCATTTTGATAGGACTGCTTCTTTGTCTGGGCACTGGGCGCATTGCTGCTCGAGGAGTTGGGCGGTGTTGAGGGTTGTCAGGGTTATCTCGCGCTCAGCTTGGGTTTCGGCTTCGACTTCATACTCGATCGCCATGGCTATTTCACGTATATTGCCCGAGCTCGGGTAAGCGGTTCAGATACGATAATACAGGCACTGATTCTTCTTTTGTGTCCAGCCACGGCCCGTGTCCGGGGTATCGATTTCCTATTCGGGCTGGTTCGGGGTAAGCCTGCCAGTTTCGTCGTGTCCAGTCCTGAAAGTCTGGCGGATTTGGATGTGATGCCTATTGCTACCTTCATCGCGGCGAGATCCCGATGGCCGAGTAGGGAGCCTTACCGTTTGAGCTGTATAGCGAGATGACCGGACCACCTCATCCGCTGCCCGAAGTCCATCATCCCACTCGCAATATCCGAAGTCTAATACGCCAGACCCGGAGAGCCTGGAACTAGCGTCCAATCTGCCGGATAAAAAACGTGGCAGCGGAGCGCTCGGCGAAATCTTGCTGTAAGTCAGGCGGCTCAGAACCAAGGACTAACGTATTGGCCAAACCACTCGAAGAATGTGGCATCTGCACCAAGCCTTGACGAGAGCGGACGTTGGTCAAAAGGGGATCCATTCATTCGAAGCAGACAGCTGAACCTGCTTCAAGTCAAAAAGCAGATCATTGGCAGACTCGTACTGTTGTTTCCAGCATCTCTGTGTGATTTGAGCGCATGGATGGTCATCTGCAGGAAATAGTCCGTTCCGGAATCGAGCTTCAATTTCATCATCGTCATCATCATGGTTTGTTAAGTCGGGAAAGACTTCATGGCCCATCATAATGAAATAGATTGCCGAGCCAAGCGCAAAGAGATCCGTTTTGCGGTCTGCATGATCCCCGTCTGACCTGGGGGCAAATGATTTCGAGCATTCCCGGGAAAACCCGTCCAGTAGTGTTTTGCCATCCGCATCCTTGAGCATTCCCTGAAAGTCTGTAAGAACAAGGTTCAGGTTATCGTCAAGCAGAAGGTTCCGGAGGTTGATGTCGCAGTGGATAACGTTCCTTGTATGGATGTACTCCACGGCTTCGGCGGCTTGCCTACACCAGTGTAGTTTCTGCGATAGGAGTATTGAGGGAGACAAGGAAATATAATCGTAAAGGCTTCCATTGCGTGCATACGCCAGAAGAAGTCCATATTCAGTCAATCCGCGAGATTCAATGATGCGAGGATGCTTCCCCACGGCGTCCAGGATCTGTGCTTCAACTTGGATACTCCCCATATCGCCGGCGACACAAGGATATTTGAGAACGGTTGTGTCATCTACAAAGCCGATGAAATTTCCACCTCCACGGGTAATAATTCTTGTCACTTGAGGAGGGAGATAGCGACGGGTCCGGATGACTTCAACATGCGGGGGGTGGATGGGTAGATCCTCGTTGCGAGGCAAATCCTCTACCTGTAATTGTCAGTGAGCAGCCAGAAAAGACGTTTGATAGGACTCAAATACAGATTGTCGGCCGATAAAAGACGATTTCAGGAAGGAGGCCGCCCCTTTGAAAGGCAGGGGTAACGCGCCCAGAGCCCTCCAGGAAGAGTTGAATGCAAGAGCTAATGAGGCAGGGAAAGAACGAAGGGATTCCATGATGGCCATGGATCGTCCAGGTCGATGATCCAAGAATCAGGGGGGAGCCGGTCGCGCTCTGTTGGACTAAAAAGCGAACGCTTAATAGCCAAAGTCATAATTGGTTTGACACGCTCCTGTTGGAAGGTGCACGTGACCTACAGTGAGGTACAAACACAGCAACCATGCCAAGCGCGGAGGCCACGTGAGCCCGGCTTGGCGGATGACTTATAGAGACGCCTGCCGATGACAAGGGAAATGGGTCTTCACAGAATATGCTTAGAAACAGACTGTTGGATATCCAGATGCCCATGCGTTGCAACCCAGGTCGCGGCGAAGGAGTGATGGCTAGTACTGCAGCCCCATTGCTGAATCTGCCATTGTCGGTCTCGACTAGAAGTGAGACTAGAGATCCATACGGATATCCTCTTGGACTCTTGATGTTACACAAAAATCTTATGCGCTAATGATCCAGACGAACATGGGATGTTAAGGATTACAGCAGTATGCTTGGACCTCACTTGGTTTACATGGACTCTTTGGTCTTATTTGGTAAGAAAGTACTTGCTAGTCAAATAAAACAGGGTGAGTATTTGGACAAAGGCAACCATAGCGGTTCCTCAAGTATCCGTATGCTTTGACTGCTTAATCATGAGCGCCGGATTGAACGATATGCCAGAATGATTTGAATTGCCGCGAAAAGCTGTGCCCTTGATGTGCGATTAAATTAAAAAAAGATGCATTAAGAATTGAAAAGACGCTCTGGATTCCGTAGATGGCCGCTTGAGTTTCAAGGTGTACAGCAGCAAAGGATAGCACAGCTAATTCCAACGGAATGGCAGCTTGAACCGTTTGGCGGGCTTCCAATATTCATGCTGCAGATTGGCTGCCATGTCGAGTCCAGCTGCTTTGCCGAGTTCGGCTGCCTTGTCGCGTGCAGCTGCCAGTATATCCGTATTGTCCTGTTCAAGTGCCTTGTCGCTTGTAGGTACCAACATACCCGCGTTGTCCAGTTCACCTATCAGCTCGATGTCAGGCTGAGGACGATAAGGAATGATGAGACTGAGCTTTGGCTGTTGCTGTTGACATGGCGACATCGAGGCTGCGGTATCAGGGGTGTTGGGCTCAGCTGCGAACATGGCTTCCGAGACATCCACATCAGGAAGGATAAGATGGAGGGTTGGGATCCGCTTGAGCTGGGTTGACATTAAACCTGCGATAACTGGAGTATTGGGCTCAGTTGCCAGCTTGACGTCCACCAGGTCCTCGGGAGGAGTGGGGACGAGCCCTGGGAGTTTTTCCTGACGAGCAGACATCGAAGCCGTGGTATCATCGGGGGTGTTGGGCTCGGCTGCCAACTTGACTTCGGAGAAATCCCCAGAAGGTATAATGAGGCGAAGCTTGGGGATCTGGTTCTGCTGAGAACGCTTCAAAGCTGTCGTATCCGGGGTGCTGGGCTCGGCTGCCATCTTCACCTCTCGAGGAGATCCAGACGGGGTGAAGAGGCGAAGCTCGGGAGGTTCGTCCTGATGAGCTGACATCGAATCCGATTCCATGTTTTGGGTAGGTGATGTTAAAGTCGAGATTGAATGGTCAGGAAAGAGGAACATGGAGCGGAGGCTGGAGAGTTGGTTTCGATTAGCCGACACTGTAGCTGATTGCTTGTTTGAGGAGTGGATGTTGAAGTTGAGATTGAATGGAAGAGACGAGGAACTGAAGGGAGATGGTTGATGGATGGAGAGCGAGGCTTATGGGGGAGCGACGGCCTCGTTTTATAGCCGGTCTGATGGAGACTGGGAGTTCAAGAGCAACCTGGTGAATGCTTCATTCACCCAAGGCCAGTCTTGACTGTGATGGACTTCAGGAGCTGCCTATTGACAGCGGAGAGCCTTCAGCCACCTTGACCTAACCAGGTTTGCGCAGCCTTAATGGGATAACACTTTGCCTTCGCTTGAATCACTAGATAACAGCCACCCTGGGTGAAGATGTGCAAATGTCCCAAGGCATCCAACTGTCAATGAGACGAGACGGGCTGGCTACGTCATGTATCTAGAAACGGTCTACTGGTGGAATTCTATGGCGACAGCGTATCTTGAAGGACAGGTTTTCCCTGGTGTGCTTGTGGCTTTATGACGAGCAGATGGAAATGGTTAAAGTGGAGTGCGCAAAGAAACTGCTATGCCCTAACTAAGTACATGAAATTCATATTCCGGCCATGATAGATAATGAGAGAAGAGATAATGAAAGAAAAAACAACGCTATGTTCTGGTGCCACGAGGTTTTCCATGAAGAATATGCTCCCAATGCCTATTCAGCCCATACACCAAGTAACGGAAAAGTAAAGATTTCCAGCACCCAACAACAAAAGACTGATACAAAAGAGATGTAAGAGACGGCGTCTAATCACGCCAGATCCCCAGAGCGCGGAAATGCTGCCGCAGGACACAAAACGTCTTATTCGCCCAGTGCGCGCGGTCCGCATGGCCAGAGACAAACAACTCCGTAGTCCAAGCGCGGTTCTCAACGCCGTTCATGTCCCGGTCATAGCGAATCTCGCGCTCCGCGTTCGGAATTAGGTGCTCGAGGTACTCGATCCCGCGCTCCTGCAGGATATACCGCAACATCACCGACAGCTCGACCTGCACAATGGGCTTGACGGCGTCGTGGATCCGGTCGAGGTGCGCGAGGACCACGGCGTGGAAGCGCGAGTCGTTCACGGCCCGGACGAAGGTCAGGAGCCGGTGGCCGGAGAGGACGCTCAGGTGCGTTGTGAGTTCGTGGCGTAGCGAGGCGCCCTTGTTGCGTGCGCGCTTGCGGCCGGCCGGGCTGGCGTCCTCGTGCATGATGGTGGCGGCGAGGTCGGTCCAGGGGGCTCCGTTGCCGTGGCTGTCGGAGGTGAACATCTCGACTGAGTCAGAGTCCGAGTTGTTTACACCGTCAGCTTGTGTCTCTGAGAGGTCTTCGGGCGGGGTCAAGTCAGGCAGGGAGACGGTTTCAGCGTCGCTGGTGGAGTCGGTCTCCGGGCTCTCGGTGTTGTCCTCGACTGGTGAAAATCGCCAGGCGAGTTCGGCCTCCTGCCAGAGTAACTTGATTGAAGCGGTGACCTGACGCAGCGCCGGGGCGAGCTCAGAACTACACATGTTGACCATGTAGTCTTCGCCCTTGTTTTCTTCGGCGCCCTGCGCAAGGACGACGAGGACGTCCATCACCTGGAACATCTGGCGCTGGAGGTCCCACATCTGGGAGCGCAGAATAAGTCTACTGGCATTGGCCTCGGGTGTGCGTTGAGTGGTAGACTCCTTGATGGGCTCTGTGGGAGCGAGGATCGAAAGAGGGCGGAGGTGGTAGGGGATAGGACTGTAGTTGGTCCATTTGTTGGGGTTTTCGAGATTGGTTGCCTTGAGCCACTCGGTAAAGCGGTCGAAGTCATGGCGGACGCGGTCTGATTCAAAGATTGTTGTCACGCCAGCTGGACCGGGGCACATCATGCTCACGGCTGCGGTCATCAGATGCTCGATTGACCAGCTGAGGGATTGGAGGGAGGTGGAGGTGATGTCGGGGTAGCGGTTTTTGAGCTCTTCGACCAGCTTTCCCACCCTGGAGGAGAGCGTCACCTCGGTGCGGATGGCTGAGTTGAACGGGCTGATTGACATTTTGGACGATATCAAACGTGGTAGATTTGAATCGATGAATGGGAGAGAGAAGGAGCAATAGATGGCTGGGGGAGGATGGAGAAGAAAGTTGTACAGAGGAGAGGTTGAGGGAAGTACATAAAGGGACATTTTGAAGATCTGGAGGGCGCTCAGAGCCAGCTGGGCCATGTTCTGGAGGTATTCGAGTGAATGTAACTGCTGAAGTGAAGCCGTAGTTCTGCTTGCCAAACATTAACTATACAGAGCTCCCGAACTCACGAACTCCCGCCAGTCAACCATGGTCCGCAAATGAGCAGGCGGAGACGTGACAGGCACCATACCCTATTGGGCGACGTGTCATGGAGCTGCACGCAGCCTGGCAGCTGCTGAAGGTGAATGGGAGCCAGAGACCCAGCTACGTCTTGTCTCTAAGATGACTCCTGGCCGGGGAGGAAGCTGGGCTGGATGCGGACAAGAAGACTGATTAAAGATGGGACGGGACTTTAGGAGGTAGACATTGTATATTCCGATAATAACCCACGGGCGTCTTTCCCTATACAATCTCATTGACATCGGAAATTTCCAGCCCTAAGTCGAGGTTTGTGGAGGCATGAGCAGGCACAAAAGCGGGGAGGAGCTTACTTCAGGTCGAGACTTTCTCATTCTGAGCTTCTACAAAGCGCTCCTGGTATGGGTACCTGACTACAAATGACAGGTTTCCAACCTTTTCTCTCGTTAATGACAAGCCGAGTACGTACGTCGGACGCCTTCAGCCCCGTCGGCAACCTATAGTCGTTCAATGGCAACAACATGGTTCAAAACGCGATGCAACAGAGACACCACGGAGGCTGAAGCATCATAGATACCATACCGGTGAGAACGGTTATGCTGGAAGCGAGCATGGTGGTGTGCAAATGAGGAAGGCGCAATGGAGGATGGCGATGAAGCCTCCAAGGACCATGCGAACCTTCAACAGCGCTCCATGCTCCTAACAAAGAGCGTCGCCTAAAGCTACGAGGTGAGCACAAAGGACGCCACGGCTGCGCAATGCCGGAGCGCAGATGAAGCGGGCGCAATCAAATCCATCTCGTCTCTCTTCCACGCCGACCTCCCAGCTCCTACACAACGATGCCCACCCACGCCAGCGTGATCCTACAATCGACCCTCCTCAAAACAGCCGCAAACCTCGCAGCCCAGATCGCCGAGCTATGGAGTCGTCATCGCCTCTCGTCAAAGCGTATAGACTGGCAGTCCGTCGCCGAATTCGCCGTCTGCGGCGTCATCCAAGCGGAAATCGGCTGGCATTGGCAGAACTTCCTTGAGGATATCCTGCCTACATACGATATGAGGACGTCGACGAAGAATGATGAATACGACTACGACGATGAGTCCGACTACGAGTATCAAAATGAGAAGCTCCACCGGCTGCAACGGCAGTCACGCCTAACGTACTGGTTCAACATCCTCGTCAAGCTCGTCATGGACCAGACGATCGGGTCGTATGCAATGAACATCGTCTTTCTCCTCTGCACTCTGGTCGCGCGGGTCCCTAGTGTGAATGTGCTCGTTGCCCGCCTGAGCAGCGGGATTTGGCCGTTGATTCTAAATGCGTGGAAGGTGTGGCCGGCGTGCTCGCTGGTCAATTTCCTCTGGGTCCCCGTGGACTGGCGCGTGCTGGTGGCGTCGGTGGTTGGGTTTGCGTGGAATGTCTTTCTGTCGCTTTGGGCGCTGGGAAGGTTGGAATGAGGACTGGAGGCCTGCTTGGAGGGTCTTTATCAAACCATCCCACGGTCACTCGTTTACGCTTGGTGAGCAGTCGAGATTTTCTTGTACAGAGTGGCGAGTCTTGGAGGCTTATTGGTTATCACCATTGCCAGGCCTATCATCAATCAACTCTCTTTATCCATGCTGAGTCTGAACTGTGCTTCTATCATGGCTTTGTTGATTCCCGGGCGGTTCCTATTGACATCCGCATTCAGGTCTTTATTGAGGCCGGATTAGGAACAGTATGAAGGGCTTAGGGTCACATAGGTAGGGACTATTCCCCTTTTGCTAGGCTAAAATACAATCACGACGTTGAGGCATATGCGCTGGTAACGAGCAGTTGAATAAACCCGACCGCGCGTTCTGGCTCGGTGGACAATCACACACTGTAGTAGTATGGGCCGACCCTAATATCTGGTGTGACACATACCGTGCTGATGTCCTACTTGAAATCTTTCTATCAGTTCGTACGCTATGGGCATACCTGTCGGTCGCATATAAACCCTAAGCCAGGTCGTACCCGGCAAGCAGCGGATGTACAGCCGTGACAATTCAGCGAGGCACCCGCTGCGGAAGCGGACGTGTGTTCTTAGAACCGTTGGGGGACAAAACACTGCACGAACTGACATGGAATGAGCCCTTCTATCTCCGAGTCTGACTGAAGATTGCAAGAAGTCAGAATAGGCAAAGGACCATCCTGCCCTCTTGCCCTCCTTTACGCCACTTGGACCGAACTTGAATTATTCATCTAGCGCACTCCATCCAACGTAAACCGTAATGGACCTGGAAGTGGAGAATCCCAACAAGGTCTCTTCATCGTCGCGGAACAAACGCCATCTGGTCCAAGTGTCAGGCAGGGCCTCATTCAACAAGGTATTGGCGGCCATGACCCCATCAGGGCCAACTCACGTGGCCCAGCAGCGCGTCATTATCCAACGCTCCCGGACGAAAAGATCTAGTCGTTGGAGCCGGTTGCTACTGTCGGTGTGGCAGTGGGATTACCAGGAGGCGTCAACTCGCCAGATGAGTGCTGGGACATGTTGGCCAACAAGTGAGACGGACAATGCGAAGTGCCTGAGACGCGATATAACATTGGCTTTTATCACCCGACCAAGCGCCATTCGATCCGTCAAGGTATTGCTACTTCCTCAGCGTCGATCCCGCTAGTTTCAATGCCGATTCTTTGATATTTCTGGGCTGGAGGCTGGGCGGATGGGCCTCTAGTGGAAAGTGCTGTTGGAGCTTGTCTGGGAGTGCGTTTAGGGGCGCAGGGGAGAGGGACTGGCGGGGAATAGACAACTGTGTATATCAAGCCACTTCGCCCAGCAATCCGGCTTGGAAATCCAATCAAGGCCGCCGATGCAGTCGGAATGCAGCACAAGCCAGTCAGCACTGATCAGGCACCAATGACAGCCCCGACAAGGTTGCATTGTGACACGCTGTGGGTTGCCCTAACTGCTCTCAGTCCCACGGGGGCACTTGATTGGCTGCCAGCCGGTGATAAGCAGATGCCCAGCGTTGGAGAGGAAACAACCAAGGTTGATCGAATGCACGGCAAGTCAGCTCATCTTGCAAGGTTCGATGCTGCTCGCCCTTTCCTGCTCCTTTGTTGCCCCTCCCCCTCCTTCCCTCTTCCCTCTTCCCCTCCCGCGGAACACCCTCACCACCACACCACCCACCATGGACGTGGAACATTCTCCCAACCCGCGCGCGCCAACGCCCGATAAGAACGCTGACAACAATGCCCCCTCCCTTTCCTCAAGCCGCTCCGCCCTCGAGGCCGGCGACACCGACATCCTGGGCGGGGAGAAGCTGGACGCGGTCCTCACCGCAAAAATGGCCCTGGTCAACGACGTGCGTGGCACCACCGCACCATACCAGCGTCTTCCATATACCCATATCAAACCCGCTAACCACTGCTTGAGGCCAGGCAATCGACGAAATCGGCTTCACCCCCCACCAAGCCAAGCTCTTCTGCCTCAATGGCTTCGGATACGCAGTCGACTCGCTGATTCTCCTTCTCCAATCGATTGTCGCGACGCAGGCGATGCTCGAGTTCCGGCCGGCTTTCGATACAGGATTAACCATCGCGGTGTATGTGGGGATGCTGGTTGGGGCGCTGTTCTGGGGCTTCTCGGCGGATGTGATCGGGCGGCGCTTCGCGTTCAATGTGTCGCTGTTCATCTCGTCGGTGTTTACAATCGTTGCGGGCGCGTCGCCGAATTGGATTGTCCTGGGTCTGTTTACGTGTCTCAGTGCGTTTGGGGCTGGGGGAAATCTGGTGCTGGACACCGCGGTCTTCTTGGAGTACCTGCCCAGTCGGCATTCGTGGTTGGTGACGCTGATGGCGGCGTGGTGGGGTAATCATCCATATACTCCTGCAGGTGCCCTGGCGCAATGGGCTGATTGATATAGGCGTCGGGCAGTTGATTGCGGGTTTGATTGCGTGGGCGTTTATGCCGAATTTCTCGTGCGCTGATGCGGCTTCTTGCACGTACGACAACAACCAGGGCTGGCGCTATGTCTGGTATACCTCGGGCGCATTTGTGTTTGTCCTGTCGATTCTGCGAGTCACGGTCGTCCGACTGCAGGAAACGCCCAAGTTTTTGGTTTCAGAGGGCAAGGACGAGAAAGTGGTTGCGGTGCTGCAGGAGATTGCGGCCAAGTATCAGCGCCCGTGCAGCCTCACCATGGACCAGCTCAGGGCGCTCGGAGAGACCCCAACGCGCGCTTCTGGTACTCGCCGTTCGTTCCAGATCATCTTGGTGTCGGAGCTCGGTTATCACCTCCGCGGACTGTATGCGACTCGGAAGATGGGCCTGTCGACGAGCCTAGTCTGGCTGTCGTGGCTGCTCATCGGCCTGGCCTATCCGCTGTTCAACGTTTTCCTGCCCAAGTATCTTGCGTCTCGCGGTGCTGAGTTTGGCGAAGACAGTCCGTACATTACCTGGCGGAACTATGCGATCACCAACATGTGCGGCATCTTCGGTCCCATCCTGGCTGGCTTCATGTGTCGCCTGCGGTGGTGCTGGGGCCGGCGAGGCACCATGATCTTTGGCGCGCTCATCACGATGGTCTTCTTCTTCTGCTACACGCAGGTGCGCACGGCCGATCAGAATGTGGCCTTTACCTGCATCATCAACTTCTGCCTCAACATTTACTACGGGACGTTGTACGCCTATACGCCCGAGGTCCTCCCATCCGCCCATCGGGGCACAGGCAACGGCATTGCGATCGGACTCAATCGGATCATGGGGATTGTCAGTGCAGTGGTCGGCAGAGAAGCAGATGTAAGCAATCCCACTCACTCTTACCGGTCGCTAACCCCCATAGACGAGCACCTCGGTCCCGCTGTACATCTGCGCCGCTTTGTATATCGTCATGGCCATCATCGCCGGGGCCTTTCCCTTCGAGCCGCTCGGTCGGCGCAGTAGCTAGAGTTACTTGTATACTAGCGATAGACTTGTTATCATCAGTACAAGCCCTTGTCCGTGACATCGTCTAGATTAACGATCGACGTAGTCAGCTCCTCTGCCTGGATCTTGCCGGCCTGTAATGCTGCAAAACCGCCAGTGGCTTCTCGTGGATCGCAACATTGAACACCGTCCCTCCCGGTTGAGGCTGGACTGCAGCCCTGTCCAGTCTTGGATCAACAACGAGATCGACCACTGACCACCGGTCCTTACCAGCTGGAGCATCAAATCACCAACCTGATCGGGCCGTCTGACCTCTTTGAACTCCAACGAGATTGAATCGCAATGGACGCCCGAGGTCCGATGCGGTCAGATCCCACTTCCGCGATTTCCCGCTGATCTCGTGGCCGAGCGTTGGGTTCCTTTGTCCCTGGGTCCGCCGGTAAGCGATGGATGTCGATTGGGTGGGAGTGATACTGTGGCTTGATCTGTTGGAGGCGCACGTATTGGACCGCTTTCACGGTCGCCCTAGGAAGGATGCAGGGAAACTGCTTGAGCACTTGCGCCATTTACATCGTTGCTACCATACTGTCCCATTGATTCGAGGTTCCATGGGTGTTATGATGGTTCTGGTCCCCGGTTCCCTTCACAGGGCCCATCCAGAGGGCAAATGCCGGCATCACATGCAGATTCAAATTGGTCCCAATCCCATGGCCCGTGTCAGGCTGAATGTGACCAACTGATTCATGGAGGTGGCACGGCCTAGCTCAACTCCAACCCGGGTTGGACTCTTTAGACAAAGCGCGTGGAGGACGGATCGGTTGATGGACAACTGCTTTTTATTCAAGAACCCAACGCCACTTCCAGTATTGTTTTGGCTGGGGAAGCCAGGCCGAGATAGACTAGAATGCCTAGAATGCCTAGAAGTGCACAAAGAACCGATTCCCCTCCATAAGATGCGCAGAGGGTCACTGGGAGGCCGAGGGATCCCTCTCCTGGCGGATTCGTATCCTTCTACGACATTCACACGTCGAATTGAGGCAAAACAACACCGACATGACCGACATCTCTTGCCGCGGTGCCCAACCGGCTCTTGAAGCGGCCAAAGTCCTAGATGTCGCGGGGATCGCCCACGTCTGTGTCGGCTGGCTGGCAGTCGCTCTGCTCGCATTCGATGCAAACCTCGGGGTAAGTACGTCCAGTGCATAGTTCCCGGCGCTGACTCCCACCAGGAAGTCGAGCTCGTCGTCCGCGACAAGGACTTTGCAGCCGCGCGGGCATCGTTGGTCCAGGGGGGATTCCGTCTCTGCGAGGACGCCCAGTGCCGGGAGCTCTGTGACCGTCGACCTCCCCCCCTCGAGTCCCAGGAGCAGCTCTTCTCCCTGAACGAGTGTCAAGACTTTTTCGCCCCAAACGCCTCCCACCTGATCGCCTCGGCCCATTTCCACCTCGGCGCGCAGTACAGCCAGTGCACCGTTCTGTCCCTGTACAAGAAGAGCGAGATCCTGCGGTGGATTCCCGTTCTCGAAGACGATCCCGGAAAGGATGACCCCAGCCTCATCTGGCTTTCCAACGATGCCCCCCGGCTGCCCCCGGCACGTCCCGACGGACCTTGCGGCCCATGGAGGCACGCGCAGGCGGTTCGACTGCTGAGCCCGGCGGCCTTCTGCGAGCTCCTGCTCTTCCTATACTGTCGGGACTGCTCGCACGTCGGACTCCGTCAGTTTAGCTGCCGCGCAATGTTTGAGCGTTGCGCCGGCCACCAAATGCGCCTCGACAGGCGGTTGAGACCCGATTTCCAGGAGGTTTGGGAGTCGATGGTGGACTTCTTCGCGCATAAGATAGGCCCCAGGGATCCCTTCCCGGCCCTGCATGCACTTCGTATGCGCCTGATCGCGGCCGAGGAGATTCTGTATGAAGAGATGCCCCAGGTCGACGAGGATGCCATCCGTTATTGAGGCCTTGTTCTAGCTACTGGTTGAGACTCCCGTTCCAAACACTCCATGCTCGTTGTTCAGGTTCTTGTTCCCACTGGAAGCATTGTAAGCCTTCGATCAGTATTCACGGCGAGACGTTGTTGGTCCAACAGCAGACAAACAACCTTTGTTGGCCTCTCGCTGCGCTGTAGTCTTCATCCCTTTGTCTCTTTCATCCAGCCTTTGCACCGCGGGGTATATCTCAGCCGTCTGCCCTGAGAATTCCCCCAAATCTTCCATTCTCCCATCGATCCCGCGATTTGTCTTCCCACGCCTATCGTACAACCACCGTCCTCCATCGTCGTCCTCCATCCTACCATCGTCCTCCACTGTCGTCGTCCTCCACTGTCGTCGTCCTTCACTGTCGTCGTCCTCCATCCTACTGTCGTCGTCGCCCATTCTTACCGTCGTCATCCGCGTCCCTTTCCACACAAACCCTGTCGTACCCTCTATCGATCGCGATGAACGCAAACACCACTAGCAACATGCGCTTGTCGGCAGCCACCTGGAACGTTGTGCAGGCTCTGTCCAGGGTGCCCGCTTTGGCAGGAACCATGGTCATGGTGTTTCCGGTCAATGCCATGAGCAACCGGGTGTTGGGGTCGGAAGAAAACGCCCCTGTAAGTGCCACCTCTTTCATTCGAACATGCACGCTTCTAACCGGGGACCTTGAACTAGACCATCCATTTCCTCGTCCAGCGGCCGTTGGTTTCCGTCCCGCCCGTCTGCAACGGTGGTCCGTATTGGCTTGATGCGCCGATCATGGAACAACTCATGCAATGGAGGTCGATCGTGATGAAGAGGTTCAAGGAAGACCCGTTGCTCCAGGCGAACATCACCGACCGGAACCTGTTTAAGCCTATCCGAGACCACGATGACCGGCTGATTTATGACGGAGTTTGTTATTTGAGGTTCCTGTGTGTCGACCAGGTAAGGGTTCCTCGGTGTCCGCCACGGCGCCCTTTTACTGACAAGCTGTCCCAGGTACTTGGCGATATGCGCCGGGCGGATACAATCACTGCGGCACAGATCCCATTCGTCGGCCTGAAGGATCTTCTGGTGCTGGGAATCCAGATCGCCGGCTGTCTGCTACCGACGGACAAGAACGACAACACCGGATACGCGATCGACGTGTTGGTGGGAAGCCTGGCTTCTCTGTCCCCCGACAACGTCGTTAACCTGAGCGAAGACCAAAAACACGCCGCGCGTCACTTCGTGAAGATGCTACAAGGCTCGGCCTTTTCGACCGAAAAGTGGGAAGCTTACCTCGGGTTGAATACGTCCGACAACTAGGAACGTTCGCTTGTTGGTGGTCTATTGGAGTTGGGTTGACGGAATGGGTTGCTCACCTTGACCGTTGAGATCAGGAATACTATGCTAGATAGACCAAATGCATCCATCGCTTCTCCGCTTGACCAACCCTTTGGATCCTCGTGCCTTGCGCACTAGTAGTCGTAGACCATCCCTACCCATTCACCTCAACGTCCTGCGTGGAACTGCGGACGCTGGTTGCGGCACGAAGACATAGAAAGATCCTAGGCCCAGTGCGTCAATCGAGTTCGGTAACGCGGTCGGTGGTCACAATGCCAACAACTTCAAAATAATCATCATGGAGATGATTTCCGACCGGGGAGTTGCTGAGGAGGGTTCCTATTTTGTCCCCAGCACGACGCAGCACGAATGCTTGAGTCGCTCCTTTGCAGCTTTCGGTCGCGTTGTCGGTGCCTTTCATGTGGCCAAAATCATCCACCTTGCCATCTCCTCGGTCCGACCATGGCGATGCGCATCCCTTCGCGTTGGGCTGCTGTGGTGGTTATCGTCTACGCAACATGTGGAGTGATTGCGCCCGCGACCGACAGGAGGCGAAGCTCAGGTTTGGAATTGGAGATGTCTCGCAACAGTCGTGGGACTGCGCCCGATCGGCTCTAGGGCTATAAAGACACTGATGAGTCGTATGGTGGCAGGAGATGCGCTATTGTAGAGCAAGAGGGCGTCTCCGGCATGGAACTGACTGACTGAAACAGACGGTCGCTGTCTTTGGGGTTGATGCGTTCTCGGTCCCTTCCATTCTCCGATCGTGCCAGCCAGCTTGCAAGACTGCTCCTACCAATATTCACGGGGAGTGCGTGTTGCCAATGTCGTTTCTTGACAGAAGTCTGGGGTCGCAGCTTCGGTGGCCTTCCAAGTTGTTGGGGCATTGTGCACAAGCCGAATGTATTCACATCTTTCTCGCCTCAGCACTCTAACCAAAGCAGAGACAAATTTGGCCGAACATCCCGGAGCCAATGCTCAGGAAGCTCATCCTGTAGTGGCCCAAGTTGCCGGGGATGGCCGCCTCTCCTGTGGCCGGGTTGGTCTCCGGTGTGCACAATGGGCGTGCAACACCCAAACTCCGCAAACAATGAGCAGCGCACACTTTTGTCTTGTACAACCTAGAGATGCGACCGTGCGATTCAACGGAGGAGACGCAGATAGTCTTATCTGTGGTGGCAGGTGGTATGATTGCCTGGAAGAATTGTTTGAAGCCCTTGCTGAAGCTTTTAGTGACAGCCATCTGGCGCTGAGGCGACCGTGCGAAGGTCGACCAACACGCGGCAGAAGAGCTCTTCAATCCGTACTCCTCGTTGTGGAACAAGGTGACCAATACGAGACGCTTCTGCCCTAACCATGGAGGATGTTCGAAGCTCCTAGGAGACTGCGCAGTGTTTGATGTTATGGACTTCTCACGCCAGAAGAAACCCGGACAGCCAGCTCCCGTTGACTGTGGACTGCCGTCTTATCGCGGAGGCAACAGAGGCTGCGAGCATCGCTCAACTTGTGGATGTTGAATGTACCGTAGTCTCCAGTATCAAACCCTCTCTGGCATACTATGGTACCCTGCTATGATCGCCCAGGCTGAGCTCGGCGAAGGCGTCACCATCTGACGAACATCAGTAGGATTGCCAAACAAGATCGAATTCTCGCTCCAACGGGGAACATCTCTAGCTGTATTTGTGCACTCTGTGTCTTCTCAACCGTTGTGCCCCTAATCCTGCCCAGACGCACGCAGGCTAAAGGCAGAGGAGCATCGGCGCAATATTAGCGACCGCGAGCTTAGCGCTCCGACCTCGAGGGGTTTAACAACTGGGCTCTGGCCAGTATCGTCTACCTGGATATGCAGGAACTCCAGTCGATCAGTGGCGGGGGTAGTTAACTCACCTTTATCATGAATAGCCGGAGTTGGTGACTATCGTCGGGAGGGTTCTCATCTGGCGAATGCGACCGACAGCAGAGAACGCAACCTGCAGCAGCGCTTCCCAGCATCATCCTGCTTTTGACTGTCTGCGGCTGAGCTGCGACCGGAAGTTGAGGCCAGCATTCTCCACAGACAGGGCTATTCGCCTATCTGATCATCTTGATGCTGTTCCCGAGAGAGTCAACGGATATGGAAATATCTTCACGCACTGATTGTACAGGGCAGATGTTGCTACTCGGCTGGGGCTTGCTCCTTGTTCCAGGTTAATCCACGGAGATTGCCTCCCGTGATGGCGACGAGTATCCGTTCCCTATCTAACCAACAGTGAGTGCAATACAAAGAATAAGATGTTACAAGGGCAATAATCACTCACTATCCCGAGGCCGGCGTCATGTCACGGAGCGTGAGTGTCTCGTTGCCAGCATTTTCGCCCGGAATTTATGCAGTGTGACAGGTGCATTTGAGCTTCAAGTCCGATATGACTTGCAAACCCGCGAAACCAGTTCCGCCTTGGGTCACAGAGTGAGTGCGAGTGTGTACATAAGACGCCTTATCTATTTCACCTCTACTGCCCCAAGATGGAGATGGTGCAGCAGACGGACGGACAAGAAAAGTAATATGTAAATCTATTCCAGCGCGCAACTGAAGCTATCGCCGAAAGATCTCGAGATCAAAGCTCGCCGCAAGCTCTCTATAGGCCGCCGGGTTCGGATGCAAATGATCCCCCGAGTCAAACTCCGGTTTCAGGGCATCCCCATCCCCAATAAACGACGCAAAGTCAAGGGTGTGGTCGAAAGGACTCTCATTCAGGATCCACTCATTGACCTGCAGTCTTGTACGCTCGCGTCGAGAATCTCCATACCCACTGTTTGCAAAGGGGGTGATGGTTGCCCCGATAGTGACTAGCCCGGTTTCCTTGCAGTCGCGGATTATCTGGATGTAGGCATCGACCAGATCATTGAAGATTTGTGTCTGCGTTGAGTCGTTCGTGGCTGCCATGCCGATATCGTTGACACCCTCGAAGATCATGACATATTTGACGCCCTTCTGCCCGATGGCGTCGCGGTGGTATCGTGTAATTAGGGCCGGTCCGGTTTCATCCAGAAGCACGCGATTGCCGCCGGCGGCCTGATTGTTGACCGCGACGTGGGTCACTTTGTTCTGGTACAGGCGTTCGGCGAGAGCATCGGGCCATCTTCATCGTCAGTTCAATCTCATCTGCGGGCACAACGTTGCTTACCGGTTGTTCGCGTTATCGGTACTACCCCGGCCATCGGTGATGCTATCACCAAGGATCACTAGGCCAACCTCTCGCTTCGGGGCCCATGCCTCAACCGCGCTGATGAGATACCATCGCTCAACACTCGCATCTGAGACGGACGGGGCGTTAACTTGGTCGCCTGTTTCGAACCACGATGTCGTCCGACTCCCGGGGTGGCCGGTGATATTAACTCCTTTCTGACCTTCTGCGCTGTAGATGGAGATAGCAATGTTCGTCAATGCAGGGACGGGATAGTCGATAGGGTCGGAATAGACTATTTCACCGGGTGGAATCGTCAGAGAATCGGCACCGTCAAAGGTCAGGCCCTTGATCGTTGATGTATCAATCTCTCCGACTCCAGCCACTCCACCTTCCGGCAAAGCCACGGACGCCGCAGTGATGGGCAGGTCCGTCAGCCCGAAGAGGTTTGAGAATTGAAAGCGCAGACGCTCGGCCCCAACTGACACACGGACTGTTTGACGCAGAGTTGTATTCCTGAATTGGAAGTCGGCGCTCGCTCCACCCTGTCGACCGTTAGTCTTGAGCCTCACGAGGGATTGAAAGCCATACAAAAGGACTTGGAGGAAGATTCGAAGGCTGGACTTCCTGCGTAGTTGCAGTCCATGTCGCCAGCCAATGCTTGTCAGCAGTCCGCGAGGTAGTGGGCAGACCGACAGCAGACACAGTCCAAATGGCGCATGCGATGAAGGACTTGGTGAGTCTCATGGTGCCGATGATCTGGAGACGGTGGTCAAATGCCCTGAAGGTCACTTCGTCGGTCGCTCCTGCCAAGTCGTATTTATAGGGAACCCCGTCCCCTCGGGGTATCTTCCTCCGTCATATGCCTCATCCATCGAGCTTCTTGCGTTTGTGCGGGGTACCTCGTTGAACAGTCCACGGCTATAAGGAGTGACTGATTGTCGCTTGCCGTGAAGCAATCCCACGCAGTTCAGGCTAAATGAAGGAATCCCCGATCCCTACCCCGGCCTCGCTGCTACCCCGCACGCCAAACATGGAGAAAGTGGGTTTCGGCCAATATAGCCTGATTGCATGCATTCGACCGTCCAAGTATGGCAAAACATCGACACGGAGCTTGGCCGCGGACCTCAAGGGTTGGCAGAAGTGGCACGATTCGCGTCTGTGCGCAGGCTTTAAAAGGCCGGGCAGATGGAGGTGGCTCACTACTCACACCAGATTTCCGAGTGACAGAGGGTTCTCAGAATGAAGATTGCGCTGGTGATTGCGTTTCTAGGCCTTGCTGTCGCCGAGGACGGGCTGGCTGCCTGGCTGCGGTATGCGCCTGTCCCCAACGCAGAACCCTACCACAACCATTTGCCATCGGTAATTGTGCCTCTGAATGCAACACAGCAAAGCCCAGTGTACACTGCTGCTCGAGAGCTACAGGACGGCATTGGTGGAATATTTGGCAAGCGACTCACCATCGAAGCGGACACGGACGACCAGACTCTGCCAGCTGTCACTGTGGGCACGGTCACTGCATACGCGGAAGAAGGCGGCGACATCTCTGGCTTGCCCGATCTCATCGAAGACGGCTTTTATCTCGAGATCTCATGCGGCAATGTCCTAATTCTTGGACAGAATGAGCGCGGGGCCTTGTATGGGACGTTCCAGTACCTCGAGCGACTGGCTCAAGGGGAGGTCTTGGACACCTCATTCGCATCCAATCCTGACGCGCCGATCCGATGGGTTAATCAGTGGGATAACCTGCAAGATGGCGGGACGCATGGGAGCGTGGAGAGAGGCTACGGCGGGGACTCGATCTTCTTCTGGGATGGCCAAGTTCGCGAAGACCTCACGCGCGCGGGCCAGTATGCGCGCCTGCTTGCATCGATCGGAATCAACGCGGTCGTCGTCAATAATGTCAATGCCAACGAGACGATCTTGACTGCCGAGAACATGGATGGGCTGGCGAGGATTGCGGATGCTTTCCGTCCGTATGGCATCCAGCTTGGTCTGTCGTTGAACTTTGCATCACCTCAGTCGCTCGGCGGACTGGACACCTTTGACCCGTTGGACGAGGAAGTCATCACCTGGTGGGAGGATATCACTGACGAGCTCTACGCGAGAATCCCCGACATGGCCGGGTATCTGGTCAAGGCCAACTCGGAAGGCCAGCCAGGGCCCTTTACCTACAACCGAACGCTGGCCGATGGAGCGAATCTCTTTGCGCGCGCCCTACAACCTCACGGAGGCGTCATCATGTTCCGTGCATTTGTCTACGACCACCAGAGTCTCAATCAGACGTTGGACTGGAAAGCCGACCGGGCCAATGCGGCCGTTCAGTTCTTCGACGGTCTTGACTCGGAGTTTGAAGACAACGTGGTGATTCAAATCAAGAACGGGCCGATTGACTTTCAGGTCCGCGAGCCGGTCTCGCCGCTCTTCGCTCACTTGGCCCAGACGGGCAGCGCAGTTGAGCTCCAGGTCACGCAGGAGTACCTCGGACAGCAGTGCCATCTGGTGTACCTCGCGTCGATGTGGAAGGAAGTGCTGGACTTTGACCTCCGCGTTAACGGCAAAGACTCGGTTGTTAGCGATATCGTCAGCGGGAAGAGACACAATAATACACTGGGTGGCTACGCGGGTGTGGTCAATGTCGGTTTGAACTCGACCTGGCTAGGAAGTCACCTGGCCATGTCGAATCTCTACGCCTACGGAAAGCTCGCCTGGGATCCATCTGCAGACTCGGCGGAGATGTTGCAGAGGTGGATCAAAATGACCTTCAGCCACGATCAAGAGGTCGTCGATGTAATCACGCAGATGTCGATGGAGTCATGGCCGGCGTACGAGGACTATACCGGAAACCTGGGTATCCAGACCTTGACCGACATTCTCCTCGGCCACTACGGGCCCAATCCAGCCTCGCAAGACGGCAACCCTTGGGGCCAGTGGACACGCGCAGACGCCGACAGTATCGGCATGGACCGCACCGTGTGGAACGGCACAGGAAATGCAGGCCAGTATCCGGAGGAAGTGTACGAGATGTACGAGAACATCGAAACGACACCCGACAATCTGCTCTTGTGGTTCCACCATGTGCCGTACACCCAACTCCTCAAGGGTGGAAAGTCGGTGATTCAGCACTTTTACGACGCGCACTACCGGGGAAGCGCGGTCGCCCAGACTTTCGTCCCGCTGTGGGAGAGCCTCAAGGGAAAAATCGACGAGGAGCGGTTTGACCATGTGCTCTTCCGGCTGGTGTACCAAGCAGGCCACTCCCTCGTCTGGCGCGACTCAATCACGACCTTTTATCACGACAAGTCCAGCATTCCCGACGAAGCCGGCCGAGTCGGAAACCACCGGTATCGCATTGAGGCCGAGGACATGGAGTTGGATGGTTACGAGCCGTATCTTGTCAGTCCGTTTGAAGCGGCGAGCGGCTCGTACTGCATCGTCACGGCGGACAACTCAACGGAGGGCCGGGCGTCGGTGGCCTTGACGGTGGAGTCAGGAACGTACAACGTTGCGGTGAATTATTTCGACCAAGCGATCGGCAACTCAACATGGCAGCTGTTTCTGGACGACGACTTGATAGGAGAGTGGAAGGGCGATCTGGAATATATTCTCGGTCGGGCGCCTTCCCCGTACATTGATGGGCAGACAGCGACGCGGATCACGTTCAAGGAGGTCTATGTCGAGAGTCGGAGTACACTGACCATCGTCGGAGTCCCGGATGGCAAGGAGCCAGCGCCCGTCGATTACATCTCGATTCTGCCCGAGGGCGTCATTGACTGATTCGCTGGCCATCCTGAATTGTGGGCTGATTTGCAGAGGAAGAGGAAGCGGAAGAGGGAAGAGAAGCGGTCATGTGACAATGGCGGGCCCAGGTTATTCCGGATTGGAAGCGGTTAGCGCGTAGTCAGTCATAATGATGTCACTATTCCAGCACAGATGACGTAGTTGGCCTGTACCTGCATCCTTACACGGTAATGGCAGCAGTGAGCAGTGTCGAGAACATGGCAGCAGCGTAGATCATATCAGCCGCAGGGAAAGGGAGTTGAGTGACTGGTCGGTAACTAAACCATTGAGAGAATGACGTAGGACCCTGGTCTGGAACCAGGCTCTCGATCTTGAAGCAGATCATGATGACGATCCAATGACGAGCTGGACGCCTTCATCCACGCATAAATAGCAGCTTGATGGCCCTCGACTTCTCTCCCTCATCATCACAACAAACACTCTCACACTGCAATCTACAACAACTCAATCAACCACTTCGACCACCAACTTTCGCAATGGAGACCGTCAAGGTGAGCAGCTCTTAACTCTTCAATCATCCCATCACTAACCCCCCCAGAACGCCGTCAACTACGTTTCCGAGTCCGTCCAGGGCGCCGGGGCCTCTGCCTCCAAGGAGACCAACAAGAACGTGGCCAAGGACAACGACGCCTCCCTCACCTCCCGCGCCACTGCCGCCAAGGACGCCGTCGTCGACAAGAAGGACGAGAAGTCCCACGATGCTAAGGCCGATGTCCACAAGGGTGCGTTCTGTTCATCTTGACCCAGACAAGGTACTAACGTTGCACAGAGGCTGCTAAGAACTAAGCCTTGACTCGACTTCGATGACTGGAACGGGATTCCCACTCATCATGATGACTCACGGAGGTTCATGAATTCGTTTCGCGACTGCTCATGTACATATACCCTATGAACAACGATTGACCTTAACTGTTTTCCTTTGTAGCTGGTAGCATTCTGTTTTGACCTATTAGATACACCTATGGTTTCCGTTTTGTGCTTGCTAAACACACTCGCTTATACGCATCGTGCTCCGTCCACCAAGATCTCGACTCCACTAATGATGGAGCTGGCAGGCTCCGCAAGGAAGAGAGCAGCGTTGGCAACATCGGACGGCTCAACAAGACGTCCGATCGGGATAGCCTCGCACTTGGCCTTGATGATCTCCGCCGGGACCGGCCCGTCACAATAGCACCCCATGGCGCCGTCAACGACTACACCATCCGACCTCCACCGACCACAGAACAGGGCTCGTTGATTCAAACGAACAACTGCTCAGCCATCAGCTTCCAATCATCACAAATGCGACCCGTGCGAGAATTGTTGCGGCGCTAAGATCATTGAAAGGCCAGAGGGGATCGCCATTCACCTTCGTCGCCTCGCAGGATGGATCGTTGTTTGGGAGGGACGACGCTCAGCGACAGCCTTTGCAACGATCGCATTCCCTCAAGCTTTCGTCTCTTCTCCGACCTCTCACAATCAATACTGAACAAGGGGCGGGCAATCACCAGCCGAGTGGCCCCGTCAAAATGCCGAGCTATTCCTCCATGACCCTGGGCCAAGCAATCAAAGATCCAGGGTTGGTGCAGACGGCCTCGGCGGAGATGCTGCCCTGCTTCATAGACCTCATGGAGGCTGACTTGGTCGCACATACAACGCGAGGGATATGAAGTTGATCTGGATTGGGCTACTCTACAAGCAGCTTAGGTTGTAGCCGATAGTATGGGGGATTCTAATAGAACTGGGGTAGCTGATGACGAAGATATAAATGCGCAGAGTCTGGAGAACTTGCTGCATGGAGACCTTTTCTGGGAGACAGCACATGCAGTAGACGAGGCAATCTAGCATGATAGAACAGTACCTACACAATCCATCATCTTCCACCACATGAACGTCCTATACCATTGTATAGTAGAGATCGGATAGGGCTTCGAGAATCGGCCTCTCCACCCATCAGATGGGGGAGGATAACATGGCCTTTGGAGATGAATCACCGTGAGGATGTAGGAAACAGCCCTCTTGTCTAGGTTGCCTAGCACTGAAGCATTCACTCAACCATGGGAAGCTCCTCGACAAACTGCGGAGTGCAGTTGTCCCTGATATCCGCGGTCTCCCATCGTTAGACCATGCTCTTTTCCTGATTAATGCGACCAAGTTTCGCATGTTCCACCTATTCGACGAGCCTCGGTTCATGGCGAAACTCCATCTGTTCTACAATATCTTGAATCCCGCCACAGATACCATCTGGTTTATCCATTTCCTAGCCATTATGGCCCTTGGAAAGTCATTTCTTGGGGAGAAAGGCTCTGGAACGACTCTGCCCGGTGCGGAGTACTTTACACGCGCCTTTGTAATACTGCCGGACTATAGCTTCCTGTGGAGGGACCCCTGCGCCGCTGCTGAGGTGCTGTACTCAATGGCGTTATATCTCCAGTCCATTGACTGGAGGACGTCTGCGCATAACTCAGTGTGTCCCTGACATTTGCATAGCTTTGTATAGAGAAAGCGGCGACCTCAATTCAATGTTCGTAAGAACTACTCAAGAGGTTCTACAGAAACTGGCAGATGTCGCATCAGAGCTGCGCGAGTACTTTCAAAGGTCCCCGAGCAGGAGTCTCTAAGCAGCATTTCATGGGTGTCTGGGTATCTCAATCTACTTTATCATCAGGTAAGTCGCTGGCCTTCCTAGAATCCAGTCACTAAATGCAACCAGTGCATAATGCTCGCCACTCGGCCGTTCCTGTTTAGCCATTTGGAGACATGCGTTGTCCTGCGAAATACGGGCGTAGCTGACCCCATGCCCATCCAGCTACTCCTCCAGACCTGCCTCGAGACCGCAAAGAAGACGGTCTTTATACTTGATGCGCTGCACCAGCAAACGTTGCTAAGTATGATCAATTCCCACACTCTCGGTTCAGTCTAATGCTCTGGTAGAGTGGTTCCTCCCGTTCGACCTTGAGAGCGCTGTCTCGGGCAGCCGGTCTGGTCACCACAATGGCGACGGTGGTCTGTCCGTCGTTGGTGGATAATCCAACGTACTACTCAGAGACCATGTCGACTCTTCTCGACCAGATAATTGACAAGGGGAATTTAATAGCCGCCGACCAGAAGATGGAGATAAACGAGCTGTGGAGGCTCTGTACAAAGCTGAGGACGTCTCCTGTCATGGCTCGTTATTCGGACTTCTCGCACCCTCCGACACCACCAGAAACGTCGACCGTCGAACAGGTAGACCTGCCCAGTCTGGACAAAGGTCGTATGGCCTGCAGGTGGACAGGCCGAGACTTCAGACTGGGCTAGGGACATGACGCCGTCGCAGCTTTTGGAGGTTGTAGACCTGCTGAACGGCGACGGTCTGCTCAACTGGGTGGAATTCGCGAATACATCGTTAGACCTGGAAGGGTTCAATCCGTAGCAATAGCTAATTGTCCTACTTCGAGTGAACTACGCTATCGACAGACTCGGTCTGGTCTAGGTATGAAGTCAACGCCGCGGCTTTCCTGTCGCTTGGATTGTTATCAACGTCCATGTCTGCACCCCAGAATGCCCCTGCGATTGCCAGGATAGTACCAGCTGCGCCATATGAAACCAGTCTATTGTTCAGCGGACTAACGTCTGATCTCCGAGCAAGCTGGACCCGAAATGATGCTGCGGCTGGTGGCGATCGAGTGTGAAAGTAAGAGGATGATGTCAAATGCCTCCCAGGCCTCGCCGGCTTTGCAGAAAGAATAAGTTGTCTCGCTGAAAGGGACTGCATTGTCAGGCTTCAGTCACCAGTAAGTAATGATAGCAGGGATCGGATTGTCGTGAGAACCTTTATGACGAACAATGGGAAGAGTTTTGCTCAGGATCTCGGCCCGAACAGTCTGCACTCGAAGACTCCAAAGATAAGAGACATCCTGGGGACCGCGTTCCGGTCGTTGGAGAAAGGGGCCTGGCTGTGACGGTAGCGTTCGGGTTCATCATTGTCGGCATTGTCCCGTTCTTCGACGACTTTCTAAGTCTCGTCGGTGCCCTTGTCAATCCCGTCTTCACCAACATCATTCCCGGGTTCATGGTTTTGTTCTTCATCGCTGTACGCCCCCCCAGACTCAGTGGTGAGCCTCAGACGGCGAGGCACTGGTTGCCAGTTGCATTTGGGGCATATAAAAGAGGATGGAGAGAGTGCACGGCGTTGATGGTCGGCTGCTTTCTTATTCTTACCGGAGCCCTAATTACTGTTGGGGGAGCCTATGGAACAGTGCTCAGTATTCGCGCATCGTACGCCGCGGGGGCAATCTCGAGCGTCTTCTCTTGCGCTGATAGCAGCTGAAATAGTAGGTTTAATATGATGGAGTAAACGGATAGGTGTCCTCCCTTATCATTTTGCCCTTTCGAACCTTCTCCTTCCCTCTATACAATAATCATAGCAGTCGGAAGAAAAACCAGATTTTAGCAGCATGTAGTCTTCCAGTTGCTCACTGCAGCTTTTTCCCGGTCAGTCCAAAGCCCTACCAGGGCAGCAACTGGGCCGCTTCTATACGATAACGTAGGGACCTTGCTCCTTCCAGGGTCTGTCAAAAGTAAAACTGTATTTGCTGCAATAATACCCTATCGTTGGGTAAGGTCAATCAATGTAGTGGCCAGGCGGCATTCCTAGCTGTCATCGGTTGCATGTCTTCGATCACTGCTGAAAGACGTACAGGATAAACTAAGACGGCTCGCGGGCCGTATGTTGCACATGCTCCGGCATCCCCTGCAGAATCCCAGAAAGATGGCTGGTGGAAAGTCTGGGGTCTCTGGGGTAGCTTGACGCCATGCCCGAACGAGCACGGATACACCAACTTGGCAAGGTACACCATACCATTGCTACGGGTTATCCTCCGTATGGCCAGATAGAAGCTCAAGTTAGATGAGCAGGTAATATACCTTCGCTGTTGAAGACATTCCAGCCGAGCTCATCTGACGAGTAGATGGATTTGTCGCGGAGTTCCAGGATGGAAACGGAGGACCTTGCTCCAGGATATATCATGGCGTATTCTGTCCGTCGTCTGGGACTTCAACACGCTGTACATGCCCATTCTTTCCCTGGCAATCATGAAGAGACAAACGCTTCCTCTATTGTCATTAGCAGGTGCAGTTGCTGCGCAGAGTGCTGCGTACGGGCAATGCGGAGGGAACAACTGGTCGGGCGCCACCACCTGTGTGTCTGGCTATGTCTGCACATACCAGAATGAGTGGTACAGCCAATGTATTCCGGGTATGAAGCCTCCTACCCCTTGACGCTCAGATGCTCATCGAAGTTCTAGGGACTGTCACCTCGTCCTCGACAACCCTTACCACAACAACACGAACAACAAGTACGACCAGCACCACCACAACTACTAGGACTCCAGTTCCCTCGTCGACCGACTTCCCATCAGCAAGTGGCCTGAACTTCACCATCGACGGGGTAACAGACTACTTTGCGGGCTCCAACTCATACTGGATTAGCATGCTAACCAATGATGCCGACGTTGACCTTGTCCTGGACCATATTGCCGATTCAGGACACAAGATCCTGCGTATCTGGGGCTTCAACGATGTCAATACTGAGCCCGGGACCGGTCAGGTATGGTTCCAGAAGCACTCAGGGGGTGTTTCGACCATCAACACCGGGCAGTACGGATTGCAGCGCCTGGATGCTGTGGTCAGCTCTGCTGAGGAACGCGGCGTCAAGCTAATCATCAACTTTGTTAACAACTGGGATGACTACGGCGGTATGACAGCGTACCTCAATGCCTATGGTGGCACTACAAAGACCGACTGGTACACCAACGCCAACATCCAAGCAGCTTACCGGACTTACATCAAGGCCGTCATTGACCGCTTCATCGACTCTCCGGCTATCTTTGCCTGGGAACTGGCCAATGAGCCTCGCTGCAATGGCTGCGACACATCTGTTCTGTATGATTGGATCTCGGACACCAGTGCTTACATCAAGTCCTTGGACCCGCTGCACATGGTTACAATTGGCGACGGTTGGTACACCAGGCCCAGGGTGTGAATGGTGACTAACCTGGAACATAGAGGGCTTTGGGTTGTCCACGGGCTCCGATGGGAGTTACCCCTTTAGCTTCGGTGAGGGACTCGACTTCGCGGCCAACCTGGCCATTGACACTATCGACTTTGGCACCTTCCATCTCTATCCCGGCAGCTGTGAGTTTATATTTCCCACCTGAACAGCATAGGCCCCTTTAGCTGATACGTACAACAGGGGGCGTATCGTACGACTGGGGCAATCTCTGGGCCAGAACCCACGGTGCAGCTTGTGCGGCGACTGGCAAGCCGTGCCTGTTCGAGGAGTATGGCGCACCCTCCGATCATTGTGCGATCGAGGTCCCCTGGCAGAAAACCGCCGTCAGCTCCACGGGGATCGCGGGTGACTTGTTCTGGCAGTGGGGAGATACGCTGAGTTCCGGCCAGACCCATAATGATGGGAACACCATCTACTATGGCTCGGACGAGTACACATGCATGGTGACCGAGCATATGGAGCGCATTGCTGCACGGTAGATCGAACATTGAACGGACGACACGGAATTTGCCCATTTACGCAGCATGATACTATGGTAGCTCGATGGCGAGGTTGCTACACTAAAGTTGCTATCTGTGATCAACGCCATCAATTGTTAAAGGCCAACCAAAAGTAATGATTGTAGAGTAAACAGCACTAGTTTCATGTCCACACAACGAAAACTTGACCATCTCTTCTGGCTTAGTGTCTCTCACAATCACCCGGAAGAGCGCTACTTCCTGGGCGAAGTTTATACCTATCTTGGCTTCTAGAATTTTCTTGAACAACAAGGGTGAGATCCTCGTTGTTTGCTAAATGGGGACTACGGGGCCGCCCGCCTTCCCACGCAGCCTTGTCTTTCAGGCATGACTCTTTTTTAAAATGCTGGACGAGGTGACGGGCGTGCCGGTGCAGGGGGCGAACTTGATTGGTAACTGGCGGTTTTCACTGATCGCTTGCAGTTCTATTTTGAGGCGTGGGAGACCCGCGTCGGACTTTATATATCTTGCCGATTCCACGATGCTCATGTTTCTAAAATAGCCAAAGATGCATTTAAAGATCCACAATCAGATGAATCTGTGTTAAGGACAAAACGCTTAATAGACTCAGGTACGCAACTCTCATCTATAACGAATCCTCCCTCTTCTCCAGCAACCCCAACTCGGACAGCTTGTATCGAGGCAGATAGAAATGGAGTGCAATACAGCCCTGGATGTAGCTCTCTGCATATTCCAGCAACTCAGGTTCCGAGCTGAGGATGGACCTCACATTTCTCACACACTCAACTGTTTTGTCAACTAGCTGCTCCAAGGCCTCCTCCACGCTGAGGCCATGTGCAGCAGCATATATGTAGACATAGTTGTCCCGTTCGTCGGAGGCAATGGACTCCTTGTAGAAGGACAGGATGTCGTTGACAAAAGACGTAAACTCCAAGAGATCGGGAACGGCTTGGACATATTGACCTAGATAGCGACTTTCCGGGAATATTGCTTCAGGGAAGAGAAAGCTCGTGTATGGTGCAGCCACCCCTGTCTTGATGCGTAGGTGGTTGGGGAACTTCTTCGCAGACTGGTGGATATGAAGTTGACCGGCGGATTCGACCTCGAAAACACTTTCTGTAATGAAGTCGAGGGTACCGCTGAGAATAGTGTCGGCGCTATGCCTTCCATAAAACTCGTTGAGTCGGGTTAGGAGCTTGATCCATTCGTTAAGAACGAGAGGCTTCTGGGGCTGCGCAAGAAGTAGGTTGCGCCCAAACTCTCTCAGCCCGTCTAGGAAGCTCTCTCCAAAGTCGTCGGCAATATAGAAGTAAGTCGTGTACAGAGCAATCAGTTGCTGCAACTCCGGGTCATGGTGGCTGAAGACCGACAGTGCGACGTCGACCGACTGCTTGGCTATCTTGGAGACCTTCTCCAAGTCAAGCTCCTGCGCATATGCAATTTCCTGAGCCTTTTGAACTACCGATTCCTTGAGCTGTACGTTTGTGGAAAGGGTAGGCAAACAACCGCCTACATCTTTGATGAACCTGCGGGCCATACATTCAAAGTGGGCCTTGGTAGGAGCGCGAGAATTGGCCAGATAGGGAGACATTTTGCTGATTCTGAAGGGTCGAAAAAAGTGAAGATGGATGGTGTTCCAAAGCATTCAGTAACTGTTATCGAGGATGCTTTATATATTCACCCATCAAGACTCATCTTGCAGTCGGGCTGCCAAGTATCACGCAGCATATGTTAATGATGATACATTCCAGCCGAAGGAATCTATGCCACCTCGCTAAGCGCCTGATTCATGTCTGATTCAAACTACTGCAGGCAGAAGACCGTGGCTCGGAAGATCTAGAAGCCTTGTCTATCCCCAGCACCCCTGTACAGGCCCCGCGGGGCACTTGGCAATGATTTGGCAAGATTATGTCGCGTTTAGAGATCAGTGACCAATATCGTAGTCATGCTGTAAGCTCAACTTGGGTCTCTGTTCTGGATTGTACCTGTCCAGTCCAGTCCCTCCCTAGTGTTTCCAGCTAGTCAACCCTAGAGCCAATGAGTGATCAGTGAGTGAGACAAACACCAATTCTTTTCATATGTGCGCCATGGCATCAAATGCACAGGCCTTTCATGTGATATGCTGCCATTTCGATAGCAGTCATAGGGGAAGGTTGGATAATGGGCTAGAAGATGGGACTGGACGTGCTCGCCTGATTGCCATCAGCCTGGCTAACAGACAGTTCATGTTTCTTGTTTGGAAGAGCCGCGTCTTGGAGAAGCTGGGAGTGAGGCGCCTTGGAGACCGTTCCACCCCGGAGGGCCATGCAGCTGCGTGGTGCGAGGGAGGAGATGTGGACCATGTAAAACGTCTGCAGCTCCCTTATTGATGGCTGCTGGTGGTACCAGATTACACTTTCACCCGTCCAGTTGTTTTGGCTATGCAGTGCTGGGGGCGCAGAACACTGGGTTTGGTGACGGGGACATGACATGTCTGCTTGGTTAGCGGATTATCTTCATCCCTACTTGGAGGGTCGCAACCTCCAATCGTGCGAGAGTGCTTAGTGGACATGGATTCAGGGTCCATAGCGCCCGATCGAGTCCTGTACATGGCTACAATGTGTGTGCTTATTCAACGTTGGAATAGATTTGCCTCCCACCAGGGGATAGCTGTATATTGTATATTGTAGTTTAACTTGAAAGTACAAATGAAACGTAGTCGGAACGCTGTGGAGTACGGGGCATGACTTACTTTGGTTGACCAGTATCCTTGATCTTGGTTCCCCCCTCGCTTTGCTGCTTGTCGTCTTGCCCTTCAATCTTCGTCGCTGCCAGTCCTTGTACAAGGCTATCCAGGGCTTCCTTCCTGGCTTTCTTACCCTCGATTTCTGTCTCTTCCATCTCAGCTACGAGACTATCGATGTCTCTCGCCTTTACTGTTCCTTTGATATTAAGGCAGCCAAGCATGTCCAGCATCCTGGCCACCTCCGGATCCTTGCTGTCCTTGGCTTGCTCGATAAACCACCCCATCCACCAGTCATGGTCCCAGTCAGGGTCGTACTCATCATTGCACCACAGGCACCGCCCGTGCCGTACAGAAGAGTAACAGGTCCTGCAACTGACACATGCTATCACGTGTTTATTCTCAAAGCAGTAAAAACCAGGGCACTCGGAACAGACTGGACACAGGTTAGTAAACGACATTTTGGTATGATTTCGCGCTTAAGCAAACAGATGTTGGATGGATAAATGATCAATATCTTGTTGCTCTCTCGAGTCCTGTCTCCTTGATTTATAACTCCCCGTCGCCTAACCTGGTCCACACCAACGGCTTTCAGAACCAGAGTACCCATTTGCAATCATCAAAATCCTTTAATGGTCATGCTAGTGGATAAAAGGTTCTTTATCCAGGATGAAAGCGGTCCTTGTCCCTTTGACATTTGTATCTAAGAGGGTCGCCTTTTATGACAACAAAGGAAGCTTTCAATGCGCATGCGAGTAGATAAGGTAGTCTTTATATAATATTAAAACGGCCCTTCTTCCCTTTAACATTCCTATCAATCAGGCTATGTTCTCCTTTGTTGTCTTAAACCAGAAATGTACCCGGATACACTTGCACCTGAGCAAAGAGAGGGGCTCCCAGATGCATTAGGAATACGTTCACCATGACAAAGTCTGTGGAGAACTTATGACCTACAAAAGGCCATAGTAGCAGCACTAGTAGTAATAGTATTTAATACCCTGGGGATTGCCAGGCGTACGCCTTATGTTCTAGAGTTCTAGGGTATGGGGGTGTGCTACTACGTAGGTCCCGTTATTTCTAGGGCGCAGGCTTTAATGCCGGGAGTAATGCGCAAAGGGGAATAAAGTAAACTATATTTAAATTATTAAAAATATTATTATTAATAGTCTATTTAATATTTGACACTTTACTAATAGCCTATTTTAAATAGTAATACTTCTTAATAGCTATTATAATAGCAAATTTAATAAAGATATTTTAAAAATAATAAAAAAATAAATTATATAAATAATATATAAACTATTAATATCAACTTATAATTTATAACCTTTTAATTTTTTTAAATTTTTATTATTATAGCCTTTAATAATAATATTTTTTTTATTTCCCCCCCTTTTTTAGTTTAAACTAGCTGCTAGCGGCCTATATTATTAATAATAATAACTTTTTAAGCTATAGATTTATAGTAGTAAAAAAGCTTTATAAGCCTTAATACTAATTTTAATATAATATTATTTTTATAAGCCTAATAGTAAAGTTAAAATTATAAAAAAGATTATTATTTATTTTATTAATTATAAAGCTATAATTAACTAGTATATAAGCTTGTTTACCAAGGGTAATATAATTTATAATTCTTATACCTAAGGTTATAGGCTATTTATTAATTATATTATTATATTAACCTACTAGGGGTAGTTACTATAATTGCGCGTGGCCGAAACAAAGTGGAGGCCTAAGCGCATGATAATTATAGGTCCCGGCTCCCAGTCACGTGAGCTTTATTAGGGATTATGTAAAATAGTAAAATAATATTAATTAGCTAAAAAAAGGGTAATTATATAACCTTAATATATTACTTAAATTAAATAACACTAATTAATTAAAAAAAGGGTAATTATATAATTACTTTACTTTATTTTAATCTTATAATATAGTTTTTTTTATTATATAATAATTTAAACCTTAACTTTATAATTTTTTTTACTTATAGTTTATATAAATAAGTTTAATTATTAAGTTAATTATATTTTATAATTATTATAAAAATATAAAACCTATATTTTAATTTTAATAGCGCCCGGGCCGCAAGCCTTATAATACTTATAATAAATATAAAAATAAGGCGTGTTTATACTACCTTATATATATATTATAGTTACTAATATATAATAAAAAAAGTAAATAATTTACTATAGTTATAGGCCTTTTTAACCCATTTTTTTAATATTTTTTTTAATATAATTAACCTAAATATATAATAAGCGCGCCTATTATAGCTAAAGCTAGATTACTAATATTATAATATATACTTATTTAATAACTTATAATAAGTAAAAAAATATTATAAAAATATAAGATAATAGCATGCCTAATAAGTAGTTAATTAAATAATTTATATAATTAATTTTAATAAACCCTAGCTTTTTTATTTACCTTTAACACGCCTATTATTATTAATTATATTTACTACTTTTATACCCCCTTCCACACTTATAATAGCCATGTTTTTATTATTACTTATATTTTACCCGATGGGTAGGTACCCATAGCTAGCTATTATTATTAATAAAAATAATATTAAGTTAAATATAAATAGCTTAACTGTTATAAGCTTTTAATTTATTATTAAAAATAATTTATTTTTATTTTTATAAACTATTAAAGTTAACTTTAGCCCTTTTATATATATAAACCTAAATTACGCTTTTTTATTATATTTATTTTTTTTAATTAATTTTTTATATTTAGCTATTATAAACTATAATTAAAAGCTATTAAATAACTTTTATTACTAGCTTAATATATACTAGCTAAAAACATGTAGTTATTATTAAAAATAATAATTTAATATAAACCTTTAAAAAAATAATATTTACAAGTATTACGTGTTAGCTAACTAAAACTAAAAAATTTTTAAATTTAGTTTATAAAATAAAATAAATTCTAGTAATATTTTTTCTTACCTTTTAAAATTAATATAAATTAAAAAAATGCTAATTATAAGAGTTTATATATTTATTAAGGTTTATTATATATAAGATTACTAGTATTTATATAAAGGCTATATTATTAACTTTTTATAAAATACTAGTTAAGTATATAAATAACTCCTACTTTTACCTAAAAATTTTAAAATATTAATTTTATAGCTATTTAATTTTAGTATAAATTAAAAAATATACCTATAATTTTATTATAACTTTAAAATATAATACTAAGTAATTAAATAATAGCTAGATTACCTTTAGGTAAATTATCTAGGGTATTAAAATATAATTAAAAATAATTATAACCTTATATAATTACTAAAAAATAAACTAGTTAATTATTTTATTTTAACCTAGGAGCTGGCTGGTAAGCTAATTACCCTAAATAATAGTTAATAAGTAAACCCTAATAATATACAGGCGCCTAATATAGTTATAATACTTAATTTACTTATAATAATTATAAAGCTTAAGGTATTATAGGCCGTGGTAAATAATATTACTAAACTAGTATATAATAACCCTTATTTAACTTTTTTTTATTTTATATAATATTATTATTTAAGTTTAACTACTTGTAATAATTACTATTACTAGTGTTTTTTATTTTTTTTATAATAATATAAAGCTAGTTATAATATGTTTATGTAAGGTATTATTTATAAATTATATTAAATACTTACTTAAATATAAAAGTGGCTATTTTACATGGTATTTCTAGTTTTAATATATTTACTTTAATATAATTTATTATTAGTAAATAAACTAGTAAGCTAGTTTTTATATTTATAACTACATGCCTAGCTAGCAAGATATTTTTATAAAAAAGCTATAAGTAGCCTTTTAATTAAATATAACTAAATTATTTATGTTATTAAGTTTTATTACTAGTTTTTTAAAAACTATTTATAGTACATGGCTATTTTAACATAGCAAGAAAAATAGCTTAAAAGCCATGGTTAAAAATATTAATAAGTAGCTTATTTTTTATTACTATGCATGTTATTTTAACCTTTTACTTTTTAAATAAATATAGCTTACCTATTTTTAATATTTTTTATAGCTAATTTATACTAAAATAACCTAATATAATAGTTACCTAAATATAAAGTATAGCGTAATAATATAAAAATTATTTATAAATAAATTATATAATATAATTTATAAAATAACCCTTATATTATTATAGCATGGTTTTATTACTATTATTATATATTTTTTAATATAGTTATTAAGCTTAAGTTTAGTATTATAAATAATTAATTTTATTATAAATAACAAGGTTAAGGTTTAACTTATAACCATGGTGTGTATTAAATATAATTTACTTTTATTTTTAATAGCTTTTAATAATTTAACAAGCTATAGTAGTTATTTAAGGCTTATTAAGGCATGTATATTATAACTATAAACCCTTTTTATATACAAATTATTATTATTAATATAAATTATAAGGCTATTTAGCTACCCTAGTTTTAATAAAAAAATATACTTACTTATCTTGCATAGGTTATAAACCATGTATTATATTATTATTATAATATAAATTATTATTAATAAAAAAACAAGTAAATTAAAAAGGTTATTTATTACTTTTATTTTTTTATAATAACACGGCGTGATTTTTAGTTAATAAAACTAACTAGTAGTACCTATTACTATTTTTTTTAGTTTATAATAATATAACCTTAAATATATTTAATTTAATTATTAGCTTAAAATAGCTTGTAAACTTAAATATAACCACGTGTATTAATAAGCGCTTTTTACTTTATTATATTATTAAGTATATTATAAAGCCTAAAAAAAATAAGGTTATATAAAAAGGTTATAAAATTAGTTTTTAAGCATGTTAATACACGCTGTTTTTTACTATTATTAGTATAAAAAATAATAAATGCCCTAATTATAAAGCAAGATTAGTTTATATAAAAGGTTTATTATTATTTACTAGGCTTATTACTTTAAATATTAAGTTATAGTATAGTTATTATTTTATATTTTATAAATTAAAAATAAAATAACCTATTTTTATTATTAAATACAGACTATAATAATACTAGTAATAAAAAAATAGTATTAAATAGGGTTTAAATATAATAATAAAATATATATAGTAGCTACTAAAACTTATTAATTTAATATTATTATATTACATGCACTATTATACCCTATAGCCTAAAGTATATAAAAAGGTTAAAAGTAAAATAAAAAATTATATTATTTATTATTACTTAATATAT